ACGTTATTGCCTATTGACAGTCTGAAATTCTGATCTTTTTAGTATTCGTTTCTTCGGGCGACTTGACTTTTTTTGGGGGGCGACATTACAAAAATTTCGGGCAACATGACTCAGGTTTCGGGCGACATGACTTCGGGCGAGATGACTCTCGGGCGACTTGACCGGTTACCGTTCTGGCCAATGACAGTTTTCAAATGTCACTTGTCCATCCTTTGCCGTGACTCACCCAGTTGGCTTGGGCCACACATGACATTTAAAGGTACAGCTTCATCTGTTGATGAAAAGAAAATTCCATTAAATCAGTCACATGTCAATGGATCATTCAGTATGCCAACCAGCCAGCAAGCCTCTTAGTCAGCCAATCCATTTAATCCAGTCAGCAAGTCAGTCAGCCTGTCAGCCAGACAACCAACCAACAAACCCCTCAGTCAGCAAATCAGCAAGTCATTCAGTCAGCCTGTCAGCCAACCAGCCCCTCAGTCAGCCAGTCAGTTTAAGCCAATCAGCAAGTCATTCAGGCAGTCAGGCAGTCGGTCAGTCAGTCATTCAGCCAACCAGCCAGCCCCTCAGTCTGCCAGTCAGCAAGTCAGACAGCCAGCCTTTGCATGACAAACATGGTCATGCATCAGGTTGGTTAGTCAGTCAATTATTCTTTCAATCATGAAGTCATTCATTTAGCTAATTAGCCAATTGAGCGGTAGTTGGAGGCTGCTGAATCAGAAACATCAAATAGGTCAATCCATCAGTCAGTGGTTCAGTCAATATGGAAGTCAGCTGGTCAATGAATATGTTCTCTTTTCAGTAGTCTCTTGCCAGGAATCTGTCTAAAAACATGCTTGTAAACTGTTAACAATAAACAAAAGGAATGACTTAGTTACCCATCCTAGCTGGCCTTGTTAATCCCAATTGTTCCATGATTTCCATAAACTCTTTCTTAGATTTGGTTAAGCGTGGGTTATACTTTAGCTCCTCTCCAACAGTTGTAGTTGTCACACCTAAAATTGAAGCAACCAAAACTAATTGAGAAATATCTTCCTTTGTCAACCCAAAGAAATAAACTGGATTCAATCAGTGCATGCTTCAGAGAGAAAAGTGGCATTATTATATCGAAATTTATGAATCCTTAATGAGCTCTGAACTTCCAACTAAAATTTCATTTGAACAAACTGCACAAGTTTTCAAACATTGAACAAACCATTATAGTCATGAGCTGGATACAACATGTAGTCCTCTGGTAAAGAGAGGATCTGATTCCTTACAGAGTCATACAGTGTCTCAGGATTCCCTGGAAAAAGAGACAATTAGTCATTAAAGTAACCATAGACATTGCTAAATTACACTTATAGAACACAAATTTAACTCATGCATGTCCTTAACTCTTAATGATGGTCAAAGAGATTGCAGTTCTTCTAAAAACAATTGGAAAACTTTTCTCAAAGGTGTTTTGACCTCTCCCTCCTTTGGACTATTGTTCACCCCCTTTGGTACAGATTTCTTTTTCTTGCCAGCATTCTGCTCAGTGCAGTTAAGACCAAAGAAGGCAGCTATAATTTTCATGAAGTAAATATTTCAAACACTTGCTTACCAAAATCATCTCAGTCTACTCTGCTGGCTAATTACACTCAAATTTCCAAGTTCTAAGTTATCCTGCAGTGTACAGGAGCTGACCTTATGACTTTCTGCTTAGATCCTCAGATATTCCATCAATGAGAAACAGGAGACTACTTGTGGGTACAGCATCAACCTGGGTGCATATACAGTCACACCCTTCTTCAATTCCTAAAAATATCTCTCTTTCTAGGTGGAACTTTTCTAGACCTGCTCAAAAACTGTTATGATTAATTTAACAATTACAAAAAAACTTGATTCATATTGCCCATTCAACTTCATGATTACCTTCTTGAAAATCAGTTCTTCCGCAAGCTCTTATCAGAAGGGCATCACCAGTAAATGCCATCCTACCAGTATGATCCACATACGTCACACAACCTACAAAGCATGAATTCAATGATAGACCTGTACACGTAGTGAATAAATGAATAAAATTAATGAATAAAGGGGGTAAGTGACTACAAAAACTGTGGTGCTGCATTGGTGGGAGAGTAAAAAAAGGGTAATTAAGTGTTATCAATTGAGTTTACTGTATAACATAATTTGGCTGCCATAAAGAGGTTTAAAGCCAATATTTCAAATGTTAACCCTTTGTCGGAGCTCTGATGAAGGGCTAACTCTAGAAATGTCAGCTTTCAAATTCTTTGCGAAGTTCAATTTATGTTATTAACTCAGTTGATAATACTTAATTAAAGCTAGCGGTTGGTCATTACTTTTAGAGAGAGTGAGTGCAGAAGCCACTGAGTTTAGTGTAAAGCTTTTCAGGAGACTTCAAGCCCTTGGTATGGATGATTTCAGTCACATCCAAAATTTTGGTGCAATAATTTGAAGAGGAGATGGCTTGATTATGAGAGTGGCAAGTGATGATTTTTTATTAGCAGCTTGTTAATTATTTAATTGATTACGAATAAAATTATCTCTCAGTCCCAGAATAGCAGACCATTGTATTCACCATAAACACTATAAACAAGATGAAGTTGGTGGAATTTTTTTGTTTTCAATATTAATGCAATGGAAAAAAGGGTTTCAATGGCTAAGTCTCTAACATACCATTTGTGTGCCCTGGAGTGGAGCGCACCTCAAGTACCTATGGTAAAAAATAAATAAATAAATAAAATGTCTGTTTATTAATCCTTTCACTCCCAAGATCTCATAAATAATTCTCCTTACCATCTCCCACATAATTTTTATAATGCAATAATTCAGAGAATTAATGGTATTGGATCAGCTAATAATCCCCTAGTTGATGTTGAACTCTATGTTCTTACCATTTATCTGCTTGATATTGCATTAATATTGTAAGGAGAAATTTCATCCTGGTCTCTCATGGGATTCAAAGGTTAATTTGTCAGTCCTAAATTTGCCTATCAATAAAGTATGGATAAAAAAAATCAACGTTTTAACTCTGAATTACCAGACGAATTGAGTCAGAGATATTCATCATAAAGATTCAGAAACTACCTGATCTCCAAAGTTGATTTGGTCACCATTATTAACAAACACATCAGCCATAGCTCCACTGATTTTAGAGATCACACTTTTGCAGCCAGTGAGATTTTTAAGAATCCCTGTTCCTGTCACATGATCAGCATGGACATGTGTATTCACTGATGGAATTAAATTGAAATTAATTAAAAAAAAAATCTGCAAAAAAAGAAATTGATGTCAGCCTGCTGTGCAGAACTCTAAGAATAGGCACACAAATTAATTTTTGTGCTTCTCTGAAAAGGAGGGACTTCTTGTAGTCTATTGAACCATAACGCCATGAATCTCCTGCACAGTTCTGCAAATGGCAGATTAATTATAGTCTTGTAACATTTATTGATATCATTTACTAACTTGCGTAAATAAGTTTAAGGTCCAATTCTTTTGTTACTCTTATGTCTCTCTCAACCTGCAAATAAAAATGCTATATAAGCTTACAGGGTGGTATGATTTTAAACTGCAGTGTTGCTTTGTAACTCCTAAGTCATTAAAAAAATGTTGTCATTTTCCATAACACTTTTTGCAGAGTTTCCTTTCTTTCAAGTTTGTATCAGTCAGGATTGAAGGTTTGGACAAGTCAATCAGCTTATGTTCTGATATTGATGTTTAACGATGGAGGTTTTTACCAAAAGTTTAGGTAATCAGAGTAAATTTGAGTCAAGGGAAAGTAAAATTAATATGAGTTAACGAGGAGTTCAAGTTAACTGACTGTGAGTATGAGTCTGGTAAAATAGGGTCAAATCGGAGTGAGATCAGATCTTGTTTGAATTAGCATGAGGAGGTGGTGGTGGGGGGGGGGGGGGGTTGAGTCAGCCACGCTTAAATTGGCAGGGTTCTTACTACCTTTAATTATTTATAAATATTTCACAAACCTGGGTGTCGACAGGGTCAATGAGAACGGCCACCCTAGTCTTAGGACATCCCAGTAAGTAAGTGTAGGTAAATGACTCCAAGTCAAATAGCTAAAGAACAGGTAAAATTACAAATGGTCATCAAAAGAAGAAACATTTAGCTTACTCATCTTACAAAATGAATCCTTTATCTCCAAATAAATGATTAGAATTATGGTAAAATTACAGAATACAGGGCCACTTAAAATTTACATCTCATTGAATCATAATACATTCTTTTGTGTCTTGCCTTTTTCTTCAAAGCATGCCGACAAGGTGGACTCCAGTGCCCCTGGAATGTGTAGTTGCTCCAGAAAAATTTTCCCACTAAACAGCAATGTACAGTAACTGTGTATCTAAGAACTCTATTTTTCCGTGTAAAATGGTAGAGGAAAGAAAATCCTACTCAAAAAAAAAGTGTATGTTTGTTCTCAGCAAATGTTTGCTGGATAACATATTGGGATTGTGAGGATAAACCGTATGTTGACCTCTTGGAGGTAAAAGAGAGCCACGTCCCGCATACACGCCCCCTTTTCCTCACCAATCCTGTTCACCTATGACTCGACCACTTTTTGGGTCATGCTGTCTGTTAATATTTGTTGATATCTACAGCAGCATAAGTTTCCTGGAAATTCTTGAAGCACAGGGAGAAAAACGAACACCTGGATCGTTTTAATGTGCGTTTGAAAATGGACGTGAAAAATTGCACGAATGGAACAAATGTAGACAGTTCACTCGAACGACCGGGAAACAGGAAAGCTGCAACAGATCGACTTCCCTGAATCAAATCTTGGGGTTACCCCAACTCACCTGTCGGAAAATAACGCTTGCTCTATTCCCTGCCATGATGAGACGATCACGTTGAAGCTTAGTAAGTCCGTGACAGTGGTAAGAAGATCAGTAATCTGTTGCAACTTTAAAGTTTTTGACGAAATTTATTACTGATATTGACTTCGTTCCAGTCCACACTCATTCTGTATTTTGCAGCGTTCAAAGGTTTCTGGGATGCATGTTTCTATGCAAAATGGCGGCAGATTTCTTTTGGACAACACTTTTTACAATTCTCTTCTTCGCCTTACCAGCGTTGATAAGAAGTCAAAGTAATAGAACTGTGTTTTCTCCCTCGTCTACGTCAGGTAGGTAATTTTCACGATATGGATTGTTCTCCCTCTGGGTTACGTGAATTTCAACACGATCTTCAGTATTTAGCTAATGGTCTGCAATATTTCGACGGTTGCATCATCTTTTTGTACTATTCAAAATATCGATGGTGAACCATTATTAGTGTGTAAACGTGGAAAGGCTCACGCAACATCCTATCACCAGATCCCCGATCACTCTCTTTTCAATTGCATTGCCTGTATTTCGATGCTTTTCCTGGACTGCTAACTAGTCAATTGACATTACAGAAATATACTTAACTCGTTGGTTATATTATTTGGCGTGTCTTTCTATTGTTCATTTAAATCTTCATTAACGTATGTTCTCTCAGACATGGTTTGATGCCACTCTGGTGTAAAGATTTAATGAATGAAACCGAGAAGTTACAATTCATGAACCTAAATAGTCTTCTCAATTTCTTTTTATATCCGAAGCTTTTCTTATCAATCAGCCTACGTGCACTATTTTTGGAAAATCTTCCATCCCATGAAATTTCTTCTTTCTTACGTACCAAACTGTCTGTAGCACTTTTTTGAGGCTTTTTGTATTGTCATGATTTGTGCTTGTTGCAGTCATTCTTGGACACAAATTTGGAGGAAGCTATTGAGATATTCTTCCCTGGAAACATTTTATCTTTTCAAATTATTTGTGTAACTCCCCTTTAACATCTTCCTTCTATCAGTACATTCCCTCAGTCTTGCATTTTGGTTGACATTTTAAAATGCAGAATGTAAACTTTTAAGATTTCTTGAATGGAAGGAGTCATGAGACTGTTGTGAATGTTCTTGTATTATGAGTTCAAAGATCAGTTGGTCCCAACACATTTCGATCAAGATTTTTCAGCAACTTTTAAGATTTCTTGAATGGAAGGAGTCATGAGACTGTTGTGAATGTTCTTGTATTATGAGTTCAAAGATCAGTTGGTCCCAACACATTTCGATCAAGATTTTTCAGCAACAAACCCTTGTGCTGGTATAAGTGGCCATCCATTTGTTCTCGTAGTGAACATTAAATTTTGTTGAACATGTTTATTAATTTTTGTTAAAAACATTTGCATCACTCTAGGGAAAATACAGTACCAGCCCAGTGGTCACATGTGCTCATATGCATACATTTGATCAGCTATGGGTGCATAGTACATTAATACCATAACTTATTCTGATTTTGAAAGGTTGTACCTGTGATCTAACTGGTAATGGGTGTGATGTGAATTGTTGCTGTGATACTGACTGTACCACAGTAGATCAACAGTCATTTACAGAATGCAGAGACAATGATGTCAAGTATGTTTTCTTTGTTTTCCATGCTGAAACAAGACATATCATGCTTTCTGGTTGTTGCTGTTTTCAAAGTTTTTATATTTTTTAGAATAAACTAATGCTTAACTTTTATCAAATTTTATACTGGATATTGAAGTGAAAGTCAACTGAAACTGAGGATCTATCTCTAGAATTGCTGATTTTTTTTGTGAATCAAAAAAGAGAGGTTATTTCTATATTTAGTTTTAATATTTAAAAAATAACCTTGATTGGTCTTTGAGTTATAATTTGTGTGTTCTCTTGCAGTCGAGATAGCAGAGTGTGTGTTTCCGAAGAAGTTATTTTTAAGCAAAACACCAAGTTTTTGACTGAAACTACAGGGACTGGTTTGTTCTGTATTGTCAGAGACAACTGTGAGTAATTGATTTAAAAGTAAGCACTTAAAGAATTATAGTCTGTGTAACATGCAAATGCTTAAACTTTATTTGACTTGAGATAGATCAAATGATAACAGAATTTAAGAGGCACCTCAATTAAGCAGACAATACAATGAAGAGGGTGCCCTTTGGTTCCACTTAACCCTTGGACCCCTAAGAGAGAACAGCATCTAATTTCTCCTTATAATATCACCCCTGAATCACACATTAAGGTTATGAGAATAAAGGGAATGATCACCAACCAAAGAATCTCTTGATTATTAAATAAATTCTCCTTTTCAGCATCTTAGGAAATGTGTGGTGAGCAATCAGTAAGGAAAATATGCATACTGATACTTGGGCATTAAGGGTTATTAAGGGAGATTTGACAGTAACCTTTTTTTTTTTATTTTAATGGCAAATAAAATATTCTTGGTAGCTTATAGTATGGGAAATGCACTATGGGTATATATCTAGCACATGACTGCATGTTTCACTTAACTCACTGTATGCAATAAAGCTACACGCATAGTTGTGTATAATTAAGACATATCCTGAAACTTTAAATGATCAAAGGTGAAATTTGATGGAATTACAACTGTACCTTTATGTCACATTATAGATAATTTTCCAAAGTTGCCGTGTAAATTGTTGCTGTCTTTGCTAATTATTGATTTGCAGATGAATCTCGCAATTTTTATAATGATGTGCAGACTGCTACTACCAGTGAAGAATTCTCTAACTTAAAGAGTCAATCAGCTGCTGCTACTGTGTATGATTACAGTGGACAGTCAGATACAAGTTCTTCAGGATCAACCTCATACATGGTAATCTCCTACAGAAAAATTAATGATCTATGGAGACTTTTTTAATAGCGAGCTATAAAAATAACACCAGCCAGCAAAGGTAAAAATATATTTCAGATCAAGACAGGTAAATTACTGTTTTCAATTGTCTTTTTTTAAGTGGCCAATGCTTCCCAAACAAGCAAAATTATATACAGTGGTAAGCAGAAACCCTGGCTGCTGGTGTTTTATCAGGACGCTGTTACAGTATGTAAGCCAGGAAGTGTTGTTTGCATACATTAATTGGAGACCTACATGTGTATATTGTACACTCTGCTCGTGAAATTTCTTAGGAGAAGTAAATCAAAATCTAGCTAGCTGTTCTCACTTTTCTTTGCGTTCCATTCATTTGCTTGTCTTTTGAGTTCTCACAAGAAATGTCTGCTGGGATCATGACTTTGCATGTATCCACATCAGGGATGTTAGATACTACCAAGATATCCTTGTAGTTTTGACATCTGCTATGTACCCTTACTTCTTATAGGTGGGTGATCCAATCATTCTTCAATTTAACAATGGTGCAAAAGGATTCCTAGTCCTACCCAGACCCTTGCTTGGAGGTGAATGTGATGACAGGAGTGCTGCAGGTACCTGTACATGTATGCAAGAAAAGAAAAAATCTTGGCACCTGACTTTTATAGAAGAAGGCAGAGTTCACATTTAGGATCAATCTCATTTTATATTTATATTTGAAACAACTTTATTTCAATAATAGCATATAACATATTATTATTATTATTATTATTATTATTAAAAAAGGGTTATAGAAGGAAGGAACTTAATCCTCATTGTAAACTATACCCCAGATATAAAAATTTAATACTATGCAATACACATACATATACTGAAACATTTTACATACAAGCATATATCTATATAAATATAAAATCTAAATAAAGAAGACAAATTTTGTTTAAAATTATAATTAAATAATGTATAATACATAGAATAATTTAATTTTGTAATTATAGGCCTAGTTAAATAATGTTGATTTTAGAGCTTTCTTAAAAGCATTCATTGAGTCAAGTTCAACTACTGATGACAGCATCTAACTCTTACAAAGATTTACTTACTTTACCTCAGTGAATGTAAGTAATGATGCTAATTTTTCTCTTTCTTCTAGGATATCGTCAGGATGCTAGCACAGAGTGCACCAGAACCATTACAGATTTGACTACAGAATGTGAATCAAATGCAGTACTAAGTGCTAGAAGTTATTTTGAAGGCTTTGAGGTTGTTAAGGTAAAGAGTCTTTTGCATCCTCTATTTTACATCTTTTAGGAAAATTTAGCCTGCACAACAGGAACTTGTTGAGAGTGGCATTAACGACTGCACAATGAGATCAAAATGTATTATATTACTTCTGGGTTGCACTTCTCAGTCCAATTCACTTGTATACCTGGTTTATACGAGGGCCTACAACACTGACAAATCAGCAATGATTTATGAATTAAAGCTGTGTTCCTATGTGAAGAGAGTACATTGCCTTTGCCACATGATTATTGCAATAAAGGTAAAGTCTGTACTCAAGCTGAATGGCCTATCCAGCCAGAGCTTATATGGGTTTCCATAGCTTGAAACGACCAGAAGTATTGCTACTTCCCCCCCTGGATGTGATGCCAATCAATTGTAAAGTTATCCCCCAACATTTTGTCAGGCTTCCTTGAAATTATGGCAGTACCCAATCATACTCCTGACAGAAGAACTGTGAAAGTCAAGTGTTTTATCCAAGAACACAACACAATAGTCAGGCCTCAAACCTGGACCACTTGACCCAAAGTCCAGTGCACTGACAAGCAGGTCACCACATCTCCCACCGAATTTTGTGATACTAGTCTTGTATTGATGGAACTAAATTTAGCACTGATAAATCTGTCATCCTACAAGGCTTTATCTCTGCACTGTGAATAACATACATGTCTAAATTTGTGTGCATGCAGAATCCTGCCATCATCCCATCAAATAGTACAGTCACCAACTCAACCAACAACTCAACTAGCCCTGTCAGTAACTCTGTAGCTGTTGAAGTCAAACAGCCTGTGTTGTGTAAAACAAACCTTGGTATACCAATTCAGTGCTCCTTCATTTCACCCCCACATCCGACTTTAGATGCTCAAAACAAGACATGTAATGATGTTACTTATGAGGTAAGCAAAATTAACCAAATGATGATTGAAGCTCTCTTGTTGGGCAATTTAGCCAGATCACTCATTATATCAGTTATGAACACCCACACGAAACCCGGTTTGAATTCCAACGCATATAGGAAGTTTATGTTTATACATTTTCTGTAAATGGTGGTCATACTTGCACAGGTTACAATATTATGATACGGTCAGCTTTCTCTTTACAGCCAGTTTTGTAGGTGACCACTTCGTCAACAACCACTTTGTAAAATACTATTACTTTTGTTTGTTAGTTAAATAGTGGTTCAAAACCTCTCCCGTAGCCAATTGCTTGTCAATTTTGTCAGGGGGCAGCAACCTCTTTAAAGGCCAGAAATTCAGAAAGTTATTTTGGTTAGTGCTTCCAATTGATGACACTCCACAAATTTAGGGAAATTTTGATGTTACTTAGCTGCCATCACGAAGATCTCTTTTTGCGAAAAAATAATGCCCTGTTCAGCCAGTGGCTTATTGAACTCTCTTAGAAATTGAGTGCAGTGGAGTTGCAAAAACAAACGGCAAGTCTGCCTGTTAGAGTTTGATTCTCAACCAGTTGCTTTGTTTTCACTGATGAGAAAGGAATGACTGTTAGGGACAGTTACTGTCATAATATTTGATATGTGGATCCAATCCCATTTTTGCTGGCCAGGTGTCATATACAATACTTTATTCCAATGACTCAACTGACATTGTGTCAGTGCTGGCTGAGTTTGTATTGGGAAGCATCGCAGCAGAAGACAGAGTGGCCCTGAGGCAAAAAGTCTCCATCAGGTTTCTAAAGGTATTGTAATCATTAACAGCAAACTATTTTTCCACTCGTAACATATTGATACAACATTCGTAGTCTTTCAAGGAGAGCAAACTATAGAATACCTGTAATTTGTTTTGCTGCGTTAAAATTGTATTTCATTGTTTTCTACTGTAAATGGTTTGAATGGTTTGTTTTATTTGCCATATGATTATATGTAATATCATATAACACAACATAACATGCAGCACTGAAACCCCCTGGATCAGACTACCCAACCAAATTGTTTATTATTAGCTTCTTCGTCGCTTAAAGTATGCTAGGATGTGATGCTTAGGTATGCATGTGTTTTCTTTTGATGTAATTTCAGTGAATTAAATATTGAATGAATACATTGTTTTTATGCAAATTTCGTAGGCCGGAAGTGAAGACAACACATTCAAGAGATCAGGCAATCCTGGTTACATTGTTGGCGAGCCTCTGGTTGCAGGCAATTTGACCACAGAGAGTGACAAGTATCTTTTTTTCTTTTTTTCTTAAATCTTTCTATAGAAGACAGACCGAGTACTTCTGGCGACTTAGACTAGCAGTATGACAGTCGAAATGTCGCGATCCTCAATTTCTAACTTGACTCGGGAATCGATCATGAATCGTGAGATAAACGAATGACAGTTTACCTATCAATACAAGATCGTATATTTTCTGTGTAAAGCGTCTGCGAATCAGACGAAAATGAACGAGTTCCGGCTTTTTTTGTTTGTGGTAATTGTTAACGCTGCGTGATGTTTTGCATCGAGCAAAGCAGGAAAACTGCTTTTGGTCTTTTTGTGGTTAAGTGCTCGTGTATCTTGTGGATTTTCCTCGACATTTGGTAGGGAGGCGATCGCTCTGAACAGCGACCGTAACACTTGGCTAACAATCATCAGTCCTACAGCAGGTGGAACTTGCTGCAGTAACTGCACTGATCGTACCTCGGTAGCATTTGGAGTAGACATGCGCACTGGCTGCACTATCAGGTAATGATGTGAGGCCATCTGTTGGCGATAAAGTTATACATTATTCTTTTTCTGTTCTAATTGTATGCTCCTAAACTCGCCAGAATAAGTTGAATTCTGCTTCCGGTCGTCGCCCACGTCTCCTATACTTCTGCACCAAAATTCATTCATGAGTCAATTTTCAGCTTAGAATTTTCATCAAATTTATATGCTGGGTGCGAGATGATATGGGACTGAAGTTTTCGACCGCTGGCTTGAAAGTTGGCGGATACAGTTTGTATGATTTATCTGCCAAGTGCGAGATGATATGAGACTGAAGTTTTCTACCGCAGGCTTGAAAGTTGGCGGGTACACTTTGTATGATTATTATAAGTATTTGACATGATTCTGCAGCGGATGTTAATGACATGTTTTATTTCCAGCATCCCGCAGGGATCACAGTTACAGTGCAAGTTGCTTCAAGAAACAGTGTACAACACATTGTTAAGAGACCAACCCACTTACGTGGCTTCTTTCGGAAACTCAGATGTGAACAGCGTGGGAGACTGGGTAAAGATTCTTAACTCCAAACCCTCGGACGAGGTAGAGTGAACTGTGTTATTCGCGGTCACTGTTATTGTTGCTGTTGTTTTTGTTGTCGTTGATTACGTTTGAGATAACTTTTTTTCCTTTGCTAACTTTCCACTCAGCCTGTACAAGGAGACAATGAGTGTCGGAACATGAGATTGGGGCTTCACATCGAAGTTCTGTTTGCAAATTTTGGTTTCTTAGCCAAACCCCAACCGCGGGTAAGATATTTGAATGTATTTTTTGACTACCTATCCCGAGCCTGAGAATATTACTGACGAGAGACGCTATATTTGCGGGCTACTGCTTTGTATTCTTCATGATGCATCGTAGGCTACAGGTTACTTGAAACAGTTTGCTGCACGATGTTACACCCAACGCATTCATCGATAGCGATGATATGCTTGCACAAAGGCTCCTGGGTATTCTGAAAAATTAAAAAAAAAACCGATTCGTAGGATATTACAGACTGAGGTACTTCTCTCAAATGCGTCGCATAACTGACACATCTGTTATGTCTTATCAGGCTCTCGGTATTTGCTTCTGGTACTTGAGCATTCTTGAACCGTTTTGGTATGTCAATGTGCATGTAATTTTACGCCCTGCATGTGCAGTCGAACAAAAACAAATGATATCAGTCAGATACTTCAACGCCAAGTCTAAAATGGTGATTTACTGTGGAAGAACTCAATGCCGGAAGAGTTAGTATAGATTGTAAATTTGTCTTGGTTTTGTATCAGGTAGTGGGAGTTATGTATACATATGACGAACCGAAGGATGTGCAGTATCAGGTAAGATCACTGTCTTCTAATCGTTCTCAAATCTCTAAGTTTGAAAATCATTTATCGAGGGATTGATAGAATAGCCGAGTATATGACCGAGAAAGGTGGTCAGCTGGAAAATCTACGGATCATTAGGTTTTCGAAGGTAAATTGTAGTAAATACTGTAACATTTAAACTGCCTGAGGGCGCGGGAAAACGCGTTAACAAGTCGCGATTAGTTTAAGTGTTAAATCTAATGCGTTGAAAAAATGACGCCAGTTTTCTGGGCCAATTACGATGTAAGGCGAGTCAAAGAAATCTCGAATTATTTTCGGCACTCGATTGAAAATTGCTTCAAGACCCTCAGAGCATCAAACCTTCTATCATCTTGCAATTTTTATCCGCAGTGCAGGGGAATTAACTGTCAGCCTGGTAGCTCCAGCCTCGAGCAGCGAGTGGAGGTCGTCTCATCGGTCGGTTTCGTTGATGTCTCCAACCGACCAGAACCGCTGGTCAAACCTGTACCTACCTTTGAGGCTAAAGCAGCGTCCGATTTCTTTTTCCCTTTCTTTTGAACCGATCAGTTTATTGACTAACCACCCTGGTTAGAGCAACTCGTAGACCCAAACGAATTCTCTTTGAATTCGTTTGAGGTGAATTTCATCGCAATTGTCTCAAGCTTGACGATTGTTTCAGCGTTCACGACGAGTGCTCGGCGATTCCCAGCAAAAGACCATCGTCTCAGAGATTGTATGGTAACGGAGATACAAATCTGATAAACTGCTCAGTTTGTAATTTAGAAACTTCTTCAACAAACAGGAGTCCACGGTCAGTGCGGAAGGTACATTTATCATGGAAGGGAAAAAAAGTAATGTTTTTTTTGTTGAAAGCAAAGATTCAAGTAATGCGGCAAACTGGTTCGAAATAGTTGGGAAACGATGTGCAAGGGTGTACAACCTGCTCGACATCTGACAAATCAGTTTTACATCGGATTGGGGGGAAGAAGGAAGTGGTAGATCAGGCGTTAACGGTGGAAACAAAAACTGGAATGCAGAGAATATGTTGGAGTATCTTTGTGGACTGGTTTTGTGGAACATGACCAGGTCTAACTACTAACAATAGTTTTATTTATCAAAAAGGAAATTCCAAAGTAACTGATATTACACTGCGGCGTTGTAATTATGATAAAGTTTGTTGTTTGCACTTGTTTAAATATTCTTGCAAAGAAAAAGTTTTCAGTTAAGTGTGTATCATTTTAATTGTAACGAAGATACACGAAAGTGTGTTAAAGGATAATAATACGTCTCATCATATGTATCTCTTTGTTGAATGGATAAATGGATAAAATCCGTGACAACTGTTGCTTGAAAATAATGAAAATAAAAATCAGTTTCACTCAAATACAAGTGTTTACGGTGACAAATTTAAGCTAAATGTGATTTTCTGTATCATCCTCAGTCGTCTCACTGGCCTCGTTGATTAACGTCAGTGGTAAAACGGGAACCTTTGCCTCCCTCGATGATTTGTGGGGATTACTGTTGTTTTCCCGTGTGACAGCTCCTGCTAGATTTCTCTGGAAAGGAAATTAATATATTGAATAACAGTACCACGGATACAGCAAGAACTGAAGGAAAACAATAAAACAAAACAAAAAAAAAGGAAGACCAAATTCTTAAGACATTTATTAGTCAAATACTTATTGCATAGGATTGTAGAGTGTCAGTTTTGCCTGAATCTTGTTTTATTTGTTTAATTGCGAAGTTAAACTGCATTTAAGTAAGGTGGACTATTGAAAACAAAACACCCAAAATTACTCTCTAAGAGAAGAGGCTCGTCCCTCACTAGAAGCCGCTGATTTCCATTGTACATTTTAGTGGAAGCTTGGTCAATTTTCCATGTCACTGAAATGTTGACTAACCTCCTGCTCCTTCTTTGTTTTCAATCGGTCCTTTTGTCCTTCCATGACAGAGATCTTAACAATCTGTTGCATTTTTTCTTCAAGGTCAAGTCTTCGCCTAACTTCCTCCTCTAGAGAAATCCTCAAGTCGCGGACCCTTTCTGTAAGTCGACTCCGTTCCTCGGTATAGGAATCCAAGTTGACCATCATCTTGCGTTGTTTTTCTTGGAGCTCCTGTTCTAGTTTCTCTTTCGCATTTTCCAGCAGGAACACTTTTGTGACCAAGTTGTTTCCTTCCTGTTGGTGTCGTTTCAAGTCTTTAGCTGTGGCGGCGAATTCGCTTCTTATCTTCATGATGTTTTGTTCAGCCTCATATCTTTCCTTGCTCAGCTCAGTCTGTAAGTCACCATTAACTTTCTGAAGACAAGAAATTTTGGTCTCGAGAACCACTCGCCTTTCTTCCAAGCAAGCGAGACCCTCTTGCCTTTCCTCTAGCTTCCGATGCAGTTCTTTTATCTTATTCTCAGCACCTTTCAGAGACTCCTCAAGTGCACTTTTAGAACGTCGAAGCTCCTCACATAATGAACTTTCCTCATTAAGTTGCCTATGCAACCAGCTGTTCTCCTCTTGAAGGTGTTGGCTCTCTCTTTCAGAATGTTCCTGCATTCGTTGGCATTTTCGTTTCCATGTTTCCAATTCCCGCTTAAATTCTGCTTTCTTCGTGGTTGGTGACAACCCATCCACACCAAATCGTAGCTGCAATGATTCTATTTCTTCCTGAAGCCGACCGTTCTCACTCATCAAGACATCTTCTGTCTCCTGGTATTGGTCTAGAGCTTCCTCTTTACCTTTCAAAGTGATCTTTAGCGCTGCATAGCGGTCAAAAAAATTTTCTGCATCTTCATTTGCTTTTATCTTGTCCGTGATAGCGGCCTCTCTCAGGGTATTCTGTCTTTCTTGGAAAATCTTCAGTTGGTCATTCAAGAACGTAATCCTTTCTCCTGCTCTCTGAAGCTCATCCTGAACACCATTATCGAGTAAGCCCTTTAGATATTCGTTATCTTTTTTAACACCACTGAGCTCTTCCATCAGTTCAAGTGACCTCTGCTTTAGCCGAATAACCTCTTCAGAACTACAGTGTTCAAGGTCTGCAAGGACCTCTTTCAAAATGGCTCGCACTTCATGTTTTGTCATCTGAGGCAAAACTAAATCAGTGTTAAGGTTGTTGATCAATAAAAGAGGTTCCGGATTTAATAAACTTTTTTCTTCAGATTCGATAACTTTCCGTAAAGATTCTCTCAATTGCGTGGCTTCTTCGGTTGCTACTTCTTTCAGGGTAGTTTCATCCTGCAACCGTTCTCTGAGTGTCGCCACTGTTAGCATCAAGTCGGCGTTTTCCTTCTCTGCTTTTTCAGACGACCACTCAAACTTTCGCACCTCCTTATCCTTTGTTTTGGAAATCTCTAGTAAGGACTGAATGTCCTTATTTATCATTATGTAAGCACTTCTTGTCTTGTTATGAATTGCCTCCAAGGCTTTCTTCATTTCCACGCTCTCACGTACATTTCTGGTTGTTTCTTCGCGCAGTTTTTCTGTGATGCTTCTGTAAGTCTTCAATTTGGATTTTTTCCTTCGCAGCTCGTCACTTAGAGACGCTACCTCTTGCTGGAGTTCGTCCTTGTCACGCTGGACTGCCATTAAAAGACTTCGCAATTTTTTTTCACTTTCAGCCATTGCAGAGGTTTCACCAGGTGTATGGTATTCTTTACCTGCCCTTTCTCCGTCGTCTTCTTTGTCTTCATTTTTTTTTCCTTTTAAAGAGTACGAGCTGAAATGTTTGCTTATAGCTTTAGGTACTATCCTTCTTTTGCCTAGCCCTTTGCCTTTCCACCTTTTTACCACACTTTGAAAATCAGAAGAACTTGGAGAGGCAGATCTAGATATCAGGCAACTCGTGCTATCTTCATCGATTATTGGCAATTGAGATATGGTGGATTGTTCATCAAAGCCTCTGTCTTCCTTTAGTATGAACTCCGATTTCTCTTGTGATGTAATCATTGAAATTTCTAGCTCCTTTTTATCTCTTATCTCTTCTATGAGATCATCTTTAAGGGCACGCGACAATGTTTTCAACCTACAGTTGTCTTTCATTAAGGTACTTAATCTTTCTTTGTAGGAGTCCACTTCTCCTTTGAGATTGCTGTTTTCTTCACAAAGTCCTTCGATCCTCTCGGCATACTCTTGTAAGTCTCTAGCATTTCTCTCAAGTGTATATTCAACAAGTCTCTCCAGTTCTTTGAATCTATCGTCCAGTAATGCCCGATGCTCATCAGCTGTGCGAACAACTGTTCTCTGCCTCGCCTCTTCTGTATTTTCCTCGTCGTTACATGTGGTTTTCATCTGAATAACTTCTTTTACGGCTTGCTGCAATGACGACTGCAAATATTGCTCGGTCTCTTTGGCATTTTTTAGGTTTTTCTTGTCAATTTGCCGTTCTTTCATAGCTGTTTCTAGTTTTAACTCTAAGCTTTTGATCTTCTCTTGCAAAACTTCTATGGCTGACTCATGCGACTGAACTTCTTGCTTGCTTGTTTTGATTTCGTCGTAAAGTTCTCGTGCAGTGAGATGCAACTTCTCTTCATTTTTCTTCCCTTGCTCAAGTAACTCTTTCAATGATTTCTCGCCTTCTTCGAGAGAATTGATTAGGATTTCTGACTTTTCAGTGTCTTCCTTTAGTAGATCACAGTATTCTTGGAGGTCGCTCTTGTCTTGTCTTGCTCTCTGCAAGCTTTCTTGAAGGTCTTTCACTTCATCCCTTAGTGCCGCTTGTTCCCTTTCACATTTCCTTTGATAATCCTCAAAGGCTCGTTCCTTACTTCTCAAAAGTTTTCCCAAAACCTCGTCTGTGCATTTACTACTGCTCTCACAACTTTCACTCTCAGCCTTCAGCTGCTCTTTTTCCCTCTCATTTTCTTGAAGTTGCTCTCTCAGTATTTCCAGTTCTATATCCTTGTCTTCGATAGCCTTACTAAACGAGAACTTTGTTTCTTCGATCTTTGCGTTTTTCTTTTCGAGCTCTTTTGAAATTTCTCCATTGTCCTCGCTAATTTTTTCAACAAGCGCCCTCAGATCGACTATTTTCTTTTCCAGAGAGGCAGTAACACGAGAAAGCTCTTCATTTTCTCGTATGGTACACTTATTACTGGAGAGTACGTCCTCGATTTTGTTCAATCTAATGTCCGTTGCCTCGGCACTTGAGGGAATTCCTTGGGTCCACTTCGTTTGATTTTCTTCGTCTTCCTCCTGGATACAGAATTTGACCCAAAGACGATGTATTTTTCCCAGGGTTAAGCAATGAGCTTCCTCTACGCCATGTAAATGGGTAAGAAGTCTAGCATTCTGCTCTTCTAAATCAACTACTTTTGCTTTTTGTTGATAGAAAGACTGTTCAATATTGTTCAGTAGTACTATGGACTCTTCATCCTCATCGAACTTATTCTCAAAGTCACAACCAGGATTTACTTTTCGCCACATATCTGCAATGTGTGCTGCCAAGCTCTTCAAAGCCATTCTTAGATCGTGGTTTTGTCGCTGTAAATCAATCATCGTCACCTCTGCGCTAACATCATCTTCCAAGCTTTCTCCACTGTCGTTGCTTTGTTCAGAGCTACTTAGACCTGAGCTTTCTCCCACTGTAGAGGAAGGTGACACATTTAAAGCAGTAGCCCTTTGCTCGTGTTCATTGCAAATTGACAGGATATCCGTGATTTGGCTTATGTGACCTGCACTCATTTTTTTCCAAGATTCCTGAGTATTCTTAAGTTCTAGTGATTTTTGGTCGAGCTCTCGCTCCCTTTTCCCCGTTTCTCCTTTCACCGTGCACAGCTGCTGCTTTAGATTTACAAGCTGTTCTTGTAACTCCTCTTTTTGGTTTTTTAAAGACTGAACCAGAATTTCAAGTTCCTCAGAATGTGCCGATTCCTGCCTCAAATCATCCACCAAGCATCTCTCCCGCTCCAATGATGTCAGTTTTTGGTTGTGCAACTCAGCTTCCTTAACCCAAAGTTTTTGCAAAGCAGTTTGGACGCCGCATTCTAGTTCTTCCTTCGCTGAAGTGATTTCCTGAAGTTCTTGAAACTTGTCTTCGACCAATCTCTGTAACTTCCCGAGATTGCGATGGTAGTTTGATCTTTTGAAATCCATTTCCAACTTGGGCATGGAAGTTACTCCGTCACCATTACCAGTTTTTTTGCTCTCCTCGTCGGGAAATCTCTGCAAAAATCATTCAAACATTAGCGGTGTGAAAATCGAACTTTGTTAGAGTCAAAATTATGATAGTAATTTCGCGCCACTGTTTCCTTGTACGGTTGTGAGACCATTTCGCATCAGCGAAATCTAGACAGCGGGGCCATAGGAAATAGAGAGTCCATGTGTTGCTTTAAGAGTTATGAGTAAAATCTCATAAAAGCTACTAACAACAATTTGCGAGTAGCCACTGTAATTAGGAAGGATTCTAAAAATTAACACTTTACCTGGTAACAAGGGCCATCTTCGGTCAGTTCATCTTCTCTCTTAATTTCAAATTCACCCCTTTGATCGTCTTCAGGGGAATTGAAAGGCTGGAGAAAACAGTCATAATTGTTAAAATCAGCTCCGAGGGAGATAGCTGTATCTAAATCCTCCGTCTCGTTCTCTTCTTCGTGTTCACACGACTGTTTTACATCATCCATTTTCACATTTCAACTCCACTAAATGGGAAAAGATGACAAAATAGATTACAGGTAAGAAGTAAAGACTAGTGGCTCCCGTGAGACTACACAATTAACCCCTAAACCTTCAGAGTGACAAGCATCTAATTTCTTCAAACAATATCACAGCTAAATCAAATTAAAAGGTCACGAGAATAACGGAAATGATAACCAATTAGAGAAACCCTTGATCGTTCAATAAATTCTCCTTACCTGCATCTCAAGAAATGTGAAGAGTACTTTTGAGTTCAAACCATCTTCTGTACCACGCTAGTTCATGAACTGAGCAAGAGTACTGAATTTACAGCTGCTTGGAATCAGCTGATTAACCCTTAAATTCCCAAGATCCCATTAGTAATTCTCCTTACTGTCTGCCAAACAATTCTTCTGATGTTACATCTGAGAATTTAGTATTGTATCAACAAATAATCCCCTAATTGGTACTTTTCTTGGTTCTCATCACCAGTCCTCTTGATTTTGTATTGATATTGTAAGGAGAAATTCTGTCTCGGTCACTCATGGGAGTTAAAGGGTTAAAACTAACCACTTTAAGTTGCGCTACTGTTGAATATCAAGCCTACATATAGTTAAGGATACGATCCTTTTTTTGCCAAATTTACTCGAAATCGCTGACCATTATCTTCTGCCTTAATATAAATAACGGCGAGACATGAAGTAACGTTTTTTTTCGTCGATAAATTTTACCTTTAGTCGTAATTCTCGATGAAATAAATCGCGAGTGAAAGTCAACGAAATTTACCTTTTAGCTGGACGCACGTATCAGTTATGACGTCACTTTCCCGCCTTTGTGACGAAGGTAGTTTTTGCAGTCTCACCAACACAGCGGTCAGATTATTGCATATGCGCACTATGATGAATAACATGGAGGTTTAGAGGGAAAGGTAGTATTCGCTGTCTCTAATGAGAGTTCGAAGTTTCTAAGACAGAGACATACGTAGTTTTTCTGGACTTTACCCGCTATGTGTTAGTTTACACTCTTGTACTCTTTTTCTGCACTTTGCACGGCGGCGTGATTAAGTCGTCCAAGGACTTGGCCGTGCAGACTGCAACGTATTCTTTGTTGCGTTCGTGGTGGAGTTGCCGGTAATCACCGAGGGAAATGTGTTAAAAAAGGAAGAACCAGAGCCACACAAGATCTTTTTTACGATCACAGGTCTATGTTTATGGTGGACAATGGACTGTGTAGCAAGGGTAGAGGAAATTTTCGGTCACATTCCATATCGATCACCGAAACGGAGCGTCCGCGTTAAAAACAGTTGGCATATTTCATAATTAAATAAAGGCGAGATTTAATCTTACTCTAAAATCCTTTTTCATTTGTCGGTAAAGTTTCCGCACAGCCCCAAACTAATGTAAAACAAATATGTTTTCCCAATGGAAATGTATTGTTTTTTTCGTTGTTTTCTCTAGTCAAGAACTGAGGGCCGTGGGGAAATTTTACCCTTTTGTTTAACGCATTGCAATAGTTGCAAATTTAATCTTCTTTTTCTTACTTTACGCTAAACACGCGTACGGAAATCCCTCGTATGCTTTCAAATTGTCCTGCATGCACGGTGTTTGAACGCTGTGTTTTCAGTAAGTCACCGGGGAAACTAGTAATCGCACGCAATATTCAAAATGGCGTCTTGCAAAATAAACATATCTGACGTGGATATTATTTACATAAAATCGAAATATTCAGAAAAGTGAAAGTCTTTGCAAGGAATAAACAATTATCCTAACAAATTTCTAAAGAGAAAAGTGGAAGAGATTCGATTGCATTTGATTTCCCATTTTCGAAGAAGCAATTTCTCGGCAAGGGAAGCTATTTTAGCGATGACTCGCATGAGTTCGTATATGCAAATTAAATAAAATGATCGTTCATCCCAGAAGTCAAATTTTGATAGAAACGCCTAGAAGTTTTTGTTTAGACATGGAGTATGGCTTATGAAAAGCGGGCATTTTGGCTCGTTCTACGAGTTTGGCATGTGTCCTCGATCTGTCTTCACTGTCAACACTCCATTTGCGCGGCTGAACACGTGTTAGGCCAGCAGAAGGCTAGCGTTCACCATTCAAGCAACAAGTCGGCAGGTAAGTGCAATAAGTCTCAAAGATTTGTACCTTGCATTTACGTTTTGTTGAAATTATAGAATATTCAAGGTTGTGACATGATTCTGTCGTAAGAAAAGAAGTTAACAATAGCGAAAGATCTGCGGAATCGGCGGTGTTCTGAACTGTTTTGCACATGAAAAGGTTGGTTGCTTTTTCGAAAGACAATCATATTGGTATTCTCTTCATAATTGTTTGTGTCGAGCGCTTCCGCCTTTTGTTTGACTCGCTGAAGGAGAATGATGTATCGTTTTCCAACATGAAATACAGCGGCTCACAGTTATGGTGTTGTTAAAGCACAACATTTTCGGGACACAACGATTTGTAAAGAATTTGTAAACGTACAGGTACCTGTTAAATGAACAACTAATTTTGAAATTTACCGAACGGGTTAAAACATGCTGCGTGATATCTATGAAGCTCAGAGATTTACCTTTGGAATTGATAGTTTTATTTCTAATTTCAAGAGTGTTCTGCTGTTGTTGGAAAAACTTGGCCGAGCTTCACTGTCAAACTACTGTCGGGAACTTTTAAGTCACGCTGTAAAATGTATCACATCAGAATTGGAACCCTTTTGAATGGGATGCACCTGCTTGGTGTCTGGTGTTTATTTCTAAGTCATTGATATTAACCCTGTAACTCATAAGATCTGATGGTTAATTCTCCCCTCTACATTTCTCTGTAAAGGAGAGTTTTTTGTTAGATCAAGAAGAAAACTTCTACCTGATAAGTTTGAGTAAATCTCATTACCTATTTGCTGGATATTGTATAGATGTTATTAGAGAACATTTACAGGTTAACACACTCAGCGAGTGAATTATCAGGATGTACCTGCCCAAGTTCAGTCAAACCATAAATGAGAAATTTCAAAACTACACAAGGCTTTGCTGAGTGTGGTATGTAAAATTTTGAGTTCATTGTTTGTGAATGAGTACAGGTAAATCCTGATAATCCATGAGCAATGAATGCATTAATAGTTTTTTTATTCAAATTAAATACACGGCGCAAAGAAACACAACACACAAAAACACCTCAACCAGCTTGAACGAAAATTTAGAATTTGTAACCTAACTTTTCAAAACAGATATTCCCCAAGCAGTTGCTTTCTTGGTGTTTATAGGGATTGCATCATCAATAAGAGAATCAATGTCTGCATCTGATAAATTGACAAACTTTGAGTCGGTGGAAGCTGTGGTGTGATGACAGTGGTGTGTTGAATTTACACCACAGCTATTACACCATGATAATGATGTCATGGAGGTTGTTTTTGTCACAACCCAGTATCACGTTGTACAAATCAGCCAATCAGAAAATCAGAATTTGTACAGTGAAAGTGAAAGTTGAATAAAAATTATATTAATCACCCCTGAGAGTTGAAAGTTAAGGAAATTATAGGAGAAGTTGTGGGAAATTCACTTTCTGTGAATGTTAAACTTTATGATATTTGGATGGGGGATGTTCAACTCATTTAACAGCCTCAATTTTTCATTTGTTAGTGGTTGTGTTGTCAGTAGTGTTTGTGAGGGGTTCTAACTAGCTTTTAGAAAATGCAATAGTTTCAAACTCTTTTACAAACCAGTAAATGTAATTATCTTGAGCACTTGTCCCCATGGAAAATTTTGCTACATTGGGGATCTAAGAGTATCCATTTCTGGAGGCAGACTGAATAGAAAAAGGAAATCCAGATTCAAAAAAAGGGAACGAGTCATGTTCACACTCAACCACTTTCAATTTTTTGAGGAGCAATCAACAGCAATAATTAACATCCTTGTTTTAATTTCACCTAATTGGTACAGAAAATACAAGAACAACAAAAACAACAATTTATTTGTAATTTATTGACAAACATTACACAACTATCCTTAGCTATCTAACCCATGAGCGTTTGATTTTTCCAACAGTATCACCTCTGAATGGGTGTGGACAGAACGTGAGGTTGGCCATGGCCTACCCTATGGCCTACCCTGTGGCCTACCCTATGGCCTAAAGGTGGTCAGATTTCTAAAAACATAAAAATAAAATCAGTAAGAGTTGAACGAGTACGCTGGCGTACAATTCTATGTCTCTAAATAGGGTATACTAAAAAGTCACTATCACGATTTTGAACGTCTGAGTAATAACGGTAGGTTAAGGGGAAGGGGAGAGGGGAGAGGAGGGGCCAATATTGCGTGGTCGCTGAGGATATCCACAATGGCGGCTTCACGATCTATACAGGCTGCTAGCTAGTAATATATAGTGGAGTGCTAGTATAAAAGTGCAATGAACGGTGTTATATCGAACAACATATCCAGGTAAGAAAATGCAAACAGTACGTGCCAGGCCAATTTTTTAAAGTGCCTCTTTTGTGCTGTAGAGTATTGAATTTGCAACAAGCACCCCGGGACACACATGCATCGCCGTCATAAACGTGTCATAAACGTTTCACAAACTTTACTCGCTTTTCTTACTGAAGTGTGGTAGTATAACAATACAAGTGGTGTATTAAGCTGTTCTCTGTGCAACAGGAAGTTCATTTGGGATACTATATTGCATGACATTGTGACAAAAAGATATAGCACACAGAGTAATTGACAAATTTAACAATCTGTTTAATATTTTTTCTTTTCTTTTTATATCTCAAAATAAATGTCCTAAAGTTAGTTAATTAACTAATTATTCGACTCTTACTGATTTTATTTTTATGTTTTTAAAAATCTGACCACCGGTAGGCCATAGGGTAGGCCACAGGGTAGGCCATGACTTACACCATAGCTTAGGCCATGGTCTACCCCACGTTTTGTCCAGACCCCCTCTGAATCAAACATTAAGGTCATGGGAATGAAGGAAATGATTGCCAAATCAAGAACCTCTTGATTGTTATACAAATTCTCTTT